GAAACGCTGCCTCAGCTTTAATGATTTGGTTACAAACCTTTTTTTTGATTTTGGTTACAATGGCACAGTTATTAGTAAGATAGTAATTTATTACTCCATTCGGCACTATAAACTGTGTATTGCAATCCCCAAAAAAAAATTAAAATGATGATTTTTGGATTCCAGAGGTGTTACTCCAACACTCCGGAAAAGATTAATAGAAATCTATAACTTATATTAGAAAAAAGCACACCAGAAAAACTATTTAACGATGAAGAAATATACAGGGTATTCCGTTTGAAATTTTTGAGAAAAGGTACATTTCGCGTTTTGAGATACCCTGTATAAACAGAAAGAAATGATAATAAAATTTTGGAACTAAGACTCACCTAAATGTCTTCAAAATGGTGGAGCTGCTAGCCGAAATAATATGCCATAATATCAAACTGTTTTTAGAAGCTCTATTTAAATATGCAATAAAATATAAGGTATTCTCTTTGAAAAAAATACATGTTTGCAATGGCACGAAGTTTTCAAATTTGCATAAAAGCAGATGTTTGATGTCTTTTCCAGTTTGCGTATACATTGCATACGCATTGTCTACATCCACATTGCGTGGAAAGTGTGGAGTTTACCTTTTTCATGTTCTACTAAAACTTTTTCGAACTAGATTGTGAGGTGGTGCTATGTCTTGGGCACCCCATCTGACTGCTCTGTTCACTTGGATCCACGTAGCAGGTACCTTGGCGACAGTACCACTGTTGATTGAAAAAATCGAACCAAATAGTACCAAGGCGAGGGTGTATACTCTTAATGCAACTCACCATGTCGCACTTTTGTTCAGGAACATACCAAATCTGAAGGTAATTTGTTCTTAGGAATTTTCTTTCTATACAGGATGTTACAGACTGCTGACAGGAAAATATAAGGGCAGATTGAGCACGTGTAAATATGAAAAAAGATTATGTACACATGGGGTCGGAAATTTCTTGTTTTTTTCCATGTTTGAACACGTCTTTGAAAAAAGTGCAGCACCGGCTTCTGCAAACTTAAGTGTCGTTTTGTCAAAGCCATATGATTCTGCCTAGATGATGCAGTTTTTCGTTTTGTTTTTTAAATAAGGTGCCAACGCGATTACTAATTTTTAAGTATGATATATTGAGGTAGGTACTCGTTAATAAATTAAATGTCAAGTATTAATCTGGTGGTTTTAGGATACTGATATTAAACCGAATTTCTAAAGAATAAAGGAAAAGAAAATTTCAAGTTGGTCATATATATGAGATTTTTGTATTTAAATGTTTTAGAACTTGTAGATTTTAAGGTCTTCATCCAGATTTTTCTTTGCATCCTAGCACTTGATTTTTCTTAAAAAGCCGAAATTCTACAATTTCCCATTTAAAGCATAATCTCGATCTTGATTTGACACCAATGTCCAATTCTTTTCGTTACATTGTGTCCTACCACTTTTCGTTAAGTTGTGTATCAATTCTTTTCGGTAGGTTTGTCCCACATCATTTCGACAACGTTTATGTAGTACTATATCCATAAGGCGTTGCTCAATGCGTATGCTGTAGAAACAAATAAAGAGAAAAGAAGCTTCGTTAGCGGGTTAAAGTTAGGAATAGGCATCCACGGTTTACATTTTGGTAAATCAAGATCTACAGTAAGCGTGATCTATAGTCGAAGCGACTTGTTGTGGCGACCTCTGTGGCGTAGTCGTCTTTAAGCTGACGAGAATGTCCCACTTCTTTTCGTTACGTTTGTCTTACTTCTTTGGTTATGTTGTGTCCACTGCTGTTCGTTAGGCTAGTCCCACTTCTTTTCGTCAGGTTGTGTCCACTTGTTTTGTTAAGTTGTCCCACTTCTTTACGTTAGGTTGTGTCCCACTTCTTATTCGTTCGATTTGTCCCACTGCTTTTTGTTAGGTTTGTCCCACTTCTTTCCGTCGGTTTGTCCCACTGCTTTTAGTTAGGTTTTGTCCCACTTCTGTTCGATAGGTTGTGTCCCACTTCTTTTCATTCGGTTGTCCACTGCTTTTCGTTAGGTTTGTCCCACTTCTTTTTGTTAGGTTTGTCCCAATTCTTTTCGAAGGCTTGTTCCAGTTCATTTCGACAACGTTTATGTAGTAAAATCTCTAAAGCGTCGCTCAAAGCGTATGTACAGACACATAAAGAGAAATGTTCACATTTTGGTGAAATAGATCTATATGTACAGTAGCTTCATCTATAGTCGAAGCGTTTTGTTGTTGGCGACCTCTTGTCGCGTAGTCTGTATGTAAGTGATGAAAATGTCCCACTTCTTTTCGTTAGGGTTGTCTCACTTCTTTTCGTTCGGTTTGTCCCACTTCTTTTGTTAGGCTGTGTCCCACTTCTTTTCGTTAGGTTTGTCCCACTTCTTTTCGTTCGCTTTGTCCCACTGCTTTTCGTTTAGGTTGTATCCCACTTCTTTTTCTTAGGCTGTGTCCCACTTCTTTTTGTTAGGTTGTGTCCCACTTCTTTTCGTTCACTTTATCCCACTGATTTTCGTTAGGCCGTGTCCCACTTCTTTTCGTTCGCTTGTCCCACTGCTTTTCATTAGGTTGTGTCCCACTTATTTTCATTCGCTTTGTCCCACTTCTTTCCATTAGGTTGTGTCCACTGCTTTTCGTACGGTTTGTCTCAATGCTTTTCGTTAGGTTTGTACAACTTCTTTTCATTAGGTTCGTCCCACTGCTTTTCGTTAGGTCTTATTCCACTCCTTTTTGTTAGGTTGTGTCCCACTTCTTTTCGTTCGCTTTGTCCTACTGATTTTCATTAGGCTGTGTCCCACTTCTTTTCGTTTGCTTTGTCCCACTGCTTTTCGTTAGGTTGTATCCCACTTATTTTCGTTAGGTTTGTCCCACTTCTTTTCGATCGCTTTGACTCACTGCTTTTCATTAGGTTGTATCCCACTTCTTTTCGTTAGGTTTGTCCCACTTCTTTTCGTTCGCTTTGTCCCACTGCTTTTCGTTAGGTTGTATCCCACTTCTTTTGGTTAGGCTGTGTCCCACTTCTTTTCGTTAGGTTGTGTCCCACTTCTTTTCGTTCGCTTTGTCCCACTGATTTTCGCTAGGCTGTGTCCCACTTCTTTTCGTTCGCTTTGCCCCACTGCTTTTCGTTAGGTTGTGTCCCACTTCTTATCATTCGCTTTGTCCCACTTCTTTCCGTTAGGTTGTGTCCCACTTCTTTTCGTACGGTTTGTCCCAATGTTTTTCGTTAGGTTTGTCCCACTGCTTTTCGTTAGGTCTTATCTCACTTCTTTTTGTTAGGCTGTGTCCCACTTGTTTTCGTTCGCTTTGTCCCACTGCTTTTCATTAGGTCTTATCTCACTTCTTTTTGTTAGGGCTGTGTCCCACTTCTTTTCGTTCACCAAGGTCACCAATAAATAGCCAGTCAAAATTCTGAACTTTTACGAGACTCTTTGAATATTCCCAAATATTGCTCTACATTTACCTTTATTAATTTTTTCATATTTCAGTGTGCTCTGAATCTGCTCATCAATTTTACCTGCAACATCCTCTTACATTATGTATATTTTCAGACGCCTAATCCGTTTTTGATCAAAACGTGGTCGTCAGGTTCTGTAAGCGAACGCTTACCGATCCTTGTGGTCGCTCAACAGAAAAGGCAAGTTTCAGCGTGGACTGTGCCTCTGACAGTCGAACCTCAAAGAACTCGAGAAGATTATTCGGAGGAAGAAAATAATGTTGGAAAGACTCTTTTTCATAACGTTCCAGGATCATGTGCCATGATTTCATGCGCGAAATTATCAATGGAGGTGAGTCACGTATACAGGATGATGCAAAGAACAGTAACAATATTACAAACATCCTATGCAGTGCTGTCAATGTTCAAGTTAGGTATGTTATCAGGTAGTTGTCAGATGTCAGTTTTGTTTATTTCTTGTTCGGTATGTTTCGCGAAGTTTGTAGAGCTTTTGATTTTTCTAGAAATTGATATTTACAAGTTACTACGGTATACTGAAAAGTTCCGGAACCTCACGATAATTTGTAGGAAAAAAGGTGGCCTCGCAATTGATAGGAGTTTTCCCCATCTGATTTGACTATTACCATGACCTTTAAATTTTTTAAAATGGAACCTCCCATTTTTTACCCATATTATTCACTTTGGTACCCGCCGCAATAGGAGTGACTGATACAGTAACAAGTAACCCAACACAATAAGAACGATGAAGACAATTAGTATAGATCTTTTATGTTAATGGCTGCATATGGAGTTTTTTGTCCACAAAGAGGTATACAGGGTGTAAGGTTAGTAGTGAATCAAAGGAGATGATAGAGGGTCCCAAAACCTATCGAATGAACCCCTATATGTGTGTTCCGAAATTTGATAGTCCAGGAGATATTTGCAATGAACTTTCAATCGCAGTTACAACTGAACCATTAGGTTCAGGGCTGTGATTTTTTTTTAGACGTAGCAATTGGAGGTGGGGTACCAGTTTCCATACAATCTCTGGCCCCTGGCATCTTTCTTTAGTAATTTTTAGCCCACTTTTGCATGCAATATTCCTTCAGGGATATAACCAGTTTTGACATATCTTATAGCACGTAAGTGATCCTTAAGACAATAAAGTGTACGATACCTTGGGGTCCCATGCTATTTGAAAAATCCTTGCAGAGTTCTCAACGTTGCCGCTGACGATCGCCCAGAGTTTCGTGGTGGGTCTGTCGACGTCTTCTCCAACGAATGTCTCGGTACACGTAGAGCTGGAGGAACAGACGAAGTTCTTCTTGAAAGCCGGCAAGTCGTACACGCTCAGCGTATCGCCGAGTCAACCGAAGTACGCTTTTATAAGTTTACGACAAAACTTCCGATACTGTGGTGGTGGAGGTGGGATCGGGAGATGACATATGCTTGACCATGTCCATTCAAGACGCCAAGGTAGGAGTCAGGGCTAGATGCGAAGGGTGATTCGGTTAGGGGTACTTTTGCAAAAGCATCAAGGAATGAAATAATCAACTCATCTAGCTTTCTTCTACCGCTATGTGTACAGGTTTTGCTCTTTAAAGTTCTCTCTGTGATGTGCCTGTCAAACAGATCCGTCTGACTTCAGCCTTCCATCCTAACCGTATTGAATTTCGTACATACTGCGAATTTATGGTTTTCAGGGGCTTGTACTGGGTATTTCGGAATATATGGCCACTTTTTCGTTAATTGAGATAGCCAGATAAGACTGATTATTTTCATTTTTTGTTATTTGTTTAATATGTTTATAAATGAATCACCCCTAACATGTGTCTCAGTACTATTTTTTTAGCAAATCTATTTCAACGTGAATTATAATATAAATGTTTTTTAGTGTCCAGTTTTTGACATGTACAAAGATATAAAATATGAAGGTATTCACCAAACGATGAATATAAAAGGAGCAGTTACAATAAGGGTAAGTGCATGATCACCAGACAAGATCACTAAATAACGTTTATCAAATTTCCACAAGAACTAACATAGGTTTAAAAAATCCAATCACAGACGCAATTAAAAAATTAATAATTTACCTCATTGTATAAAAGATTCAAATATACTAAGTGACATATAAATCCGAACACTCAGTTTAAATGGTTTTATTTTAATAAAAGTTGGTGAATGTTATTTATCTTACTGTAAATAACAAGTGAAAAAATTTTCAGCCGTATCAGTTGGACATTCCGGTTTTTATACTACTTTTTTTTAATTCACTAACGCTCTAAAAATGAATATTTCAGCCGCAGTAAAGAATCAACGTTGGCGGATTTTGGTTCTTGACATCCTTTACGATCGGTTACGATGCCTAGAGTACGAAGACCTGTACGATTTCGTCAACTTAGTGAGTTTGATAGGGGCCGTATAGTGGGACTTCGGGAAGCTGGACTTTCTTTTCGGGCAATTGCAGTTAGAGTGCAAAGAAGTGTAGATACTGTGGTTAGGTGTTGTCAGGCATGGCTTCGAGAAGGCCGTACGCAAAGAGCAAGGAGCACTGAACGCCGCCGTAGAACAACAGACCGGAAGATCGCCGCCTAAGATTATTGGCCTTAAGGGACCGTTTCTCCACTACCAGGTCCATTGCAAATGAATGGTTTGCAGAACACGGAAGACCTATTGGCATGCGAAGTGTTTACCGACGAATGAGAAGTTTTGGCTTGTTCTCATACCGGCCACACTGGGTCCTCCCTTTAACTCGAGTACACCGACGTAATCGCCTTGAGTGGTGCAGACAACGGTCACTCTGGGATCAGGAATGGAACAGTATTGTCTTTAGTGACGAGTCTCGATTTTGTTTAGGCATGCACGATGGTCGTGCCAGGGTTAGAAGGCGACGTGGTGAAAGGAGGAATCCACAGTTTTTTGTTGAAAGACATGTTCATCACACTGTTGGAGTTATGGTTTGGGGTGCTATAGCTTATGGTTCCAGGTCACCTTTAGTCTTCATCAGAGGTAACATGAACTCGCAGCGTTATATCCACGATGTTCTAGAACCCCATCTTTTACCCTATCTTGACACCCTGGCAGATCCAACTTTCCAACAAGATAATGCCTGACCACATGTTGCAAGAGTCACAATAGACTTCTTTCAACATAATGATGTCACATTGTTACCATGGCCACCAAGATCTCCCGACTTATCCCCAATTGAGCACGTGTGGGATATGATGGGTAGGAGATTGCTCAATTTGCAACGTCCTCCTCAGAGTCTAGAAGCACTTCGAGAGGAGTTGGTGGTTGCCTGGAATGAGACTACAGGAGGACATTGACCACCTGATCAGAAGCATGCCTAGGCGCGTTGGAGAATGCGTAGCACATCAGGGTGCATCCACACATTATTAAAGGTCAAAGGGCTTTAAAGCAGTGCAATCATTTTGAAATTTTTACCATTTACTTATTATGCTTCATTAAGTACTTATACAAAATTTTATTAAAATAAAACCATTTAAACTGGGTGTTCGGATTTATATGTCACTTAGTATAACTATAGAAGTTTTGTTAGAGAATACAAAGATTTTAAAAATGTTAATGAATTTATTTGTTGAAATTATGAGCAACATTGCAGTGTCCCAGAGTTCATACATATTGATTATTGTTTTGTTATTCTCGGGGCCAGTGTTTGCAAGCACTGATTGGGGAATTATTGTTAAAACTGGTTATATATTTTGTATTATTGTGTTTAAAAAAATTATTTCAAAAAAAGTAGCATTTTTATAAGGCTGAATTTATCATTGAAAGCACAAAAAATCTACCTAAAAGTTTTAAAATAAATGTTTACTGGCATGAGAAACATTTTCGAAATTTTTTTGAATTCCTTAGCATAGGCAACCGATTTTCAGTTGTAAGGAATAATGAACAGAATTCCAAGATGCTAAAAAGCAAATCTAATTTTCATATTGCAGGTACCATTGATGACATGTAGTTTTTTGTGTAGCTGTTTACAAAGGAAACGCGATTTTTTACAGACCGCATAAATTCATTCTTTCTATAGAAAGTATTCTAGAACTCTGTGTAGAAAATGTTCTATTTCCTCCATCCATTGCAACTTGGTTGTTTTCCCTCCCCCCCCCACCCCTTTCTTTCCTCCTATTGTCTCCCCTTTTCGTTTTCTCTTCCTCTTCTTCGCTCCCTTTCCTCAATTTTTCCTGCAGGACTGACTGCCTATCAATAGCACCGTTGCCCTCCCCCTGGATCCGCGCCTGAATAATTGACTTGTTTTTCTGTTCTCAAACGTTCTTTTTCAGCGTAAGGACTTCCAAGGCTCGCAAGGCTTCTTCGTGGTCCTCGTAGCGCATCCCGACGATACCGAATGCGGCCAATCGCATTCAGCCTTGCCCTCCCCTTTAACAGCTAGAGAAAAGCCAAACGCGGACGCGAACATCGAGACTAAAGTGACCGTACTAGTTCGCGATGGCTTGGGCTGGAAAGGATACACGAAGGCGGCCTGGGGAGCCATAGGCGTACTACTGTTGCTTGCCGTCATACTCCTTGCAATGCAAATGGCGCTGAACAGATACGGCACCATCGCAAAGTATTGCTTCGATGGTAAGAACAAATTGACGTTACTACAGTATATTCAGATAAGAGATAGACCGGACATAAACAAGACCACGTGATCATCGAACGCTGTAACATTCGACAGGGACGTATTAAGAGTCACGCAGTACATATTTTAGATAGTAGATGCTGCTTTGCGTAACTTTGTAGTAAATTAGCACAATTCGATGTGTATACGATTATGTGGGGGGTAAGAAATATATAAATAAGGGTTTCAAAATTTTCGCTTCGATTTCCAGCTTCGGATGCCGCCTGATGTTTGGTGAAATACAGTCGAATATAATCTCAAAATGGCGTTTAAATTAGCCTAAATTAAAAATAATCGTATATCTCTTAAAATTGCTTTTAGAATATTGATTAGTATATTTTTTTTTCTAGGTAAATATGTAACCAAATTAAAACGTTCAAAACGTAAAAAAATGTGCATGGTTGAACATTGTCAGAAAGTAGATTCTTGAATAGGTTTTGCCAAAATGGGTTCAAAAATGTCAATAATTAATTAAAAAATACAGTAGCTTTATAATTACTTATAACTTACCGAATTTGATGAACGACATCTTTTATTGGAAAGATGAGCTTGATGAGCTTTCATCATCGCTACTGCCTGAAGCACCAACGTCAATAATGAATGGCTCGACTTGTTCCTCTAAAATATTGTCCAGTTCCCACATTCTCTTTTCAACTTTGTCTTTCACGTGCTTATACAGTTTTCCCATTTTTGCGCTGTTATTAATTCTAGTGCTTCTTTGAAAAGTCCTTTGAGGTCACAAAATTTAAAAGTTGTATTGTGCTTAGCTATATAATTTTTAACCTCTGCCCATATGAGCTCAATGGGATTGAGCTCGCAATGGTATGGAGGTAAACGGAGCACAGTTTTATTTTGACTTGCTGCCATTTCGTCAATGGCGTATTTTTGATATTCCGCCTTGTGATCCTTGACAATTCTTAATAATTGTACTTTCAGCATTGCTTCTTCAAAGTTGATATTTTTCGAGCGGAGCCAATTTTGAACATCAACTTTCCTTGAAGCCGTTGTTGGGACCTTCTCCATTCTTCGAGAATGATAAGGCGCATTATCCAACACAATTACTGCGTTTTCCTCTAAGTTCGGTAAAATTTTTGAAAACCACTGTTCAAACGATTCGCCATTCATTTCCTCGTGGTAATCTCCAGTTTTCTTAGACTCAAAGCACCACAGACCGTCAACAACAAATCCATCCTCACTGCCAATATGGCAGATAATGAGCCTTTTCCCTTTACCTGGAAATCGAAGTACTAACTGGTGTAGATTTATTTCAATAAGCGAACCTTTTTCAAATGTTTTATCACATTCAGCGAAAAAACATTGAGACATGAGTATCAGATTGCTATAATTGGGATTATTTAGTCATATTGAAAGAAAGAATATTGAACGTCGTATGATTACTCAGCGCTTCACAATTTAATTTAAAGTTATAAACCTTTAAAAAATGAATGATCAGGAACCTGAAATACGCGCAAATATTAATATTAACAAATTATAACTTTATAAAGCTTAAAGTATGAATTAAAATGATTAGAAATATTAGGAACGGTACACAATATAAAACTTAGTAACTTTTTTTAAGTTTATAATATTCGACATATTTTAAGATTATATTAAAAAATTATTGAAATATCGAAAACACATAAAAACATGGCTTAAAAAAGTTCTAACAAATGAAAATGACAATAAAATCCACGCATTTTATCGAAAGTTATAAAAGTTTTGTTACTTGTAATATGTTTTATCTGCCCCCTGGAATTAATGTTTAGAACCTTGTTCCCAAGGTTTGAAAAACATCCGATTGTTGTCTATTACTCGTATTTACCTGCTGGATTTTTTAATCCGGTGGACAGTCCATCTAGAAAGGCCCTCCTGGATGAAGTTACAGAATCATCAACCCATACTTTACTTGTAGTGTGTCCTGCGTTTACCCACGTTTCATCAAGGTAATAAATCTTCCTGTTTTGATTTCTATATTTCCCAATTTTTGTTAAATAATCCCTCCTCCATAGCACAATTTCTCTCTATCCAGTAGTAAACTATTACGACCCCGTTTTTTCCATTTGAAATTTAAATGTGGCATGGAAATTGATCGTTTGAAATTTGGCAACGTTGTATCTCCATTTACCTCCTGCAGTACTTTATCTATAATGCGTGTGGTTATAGTCCGGGGAGTTTCTTCACGTCCGCTCGGAAAAACATTCGGACTCTGTTTTTTTTGCATAGTCTTATTCAAAAAGTATCCCTTTAAGCGAATCATGCTTACACAATCTTGTAAACAAATTCCAAAAATTGGTTTATGTCTGTACGAACTAGTACAGCATTCTTTTGTGTGTTCTATTTATTTTTTGCATGATGAAAATTTTAAAATGTCATATATCAGCTAAAGAAAAAGATATTTAAGCAAACTCACCAGCATGTGAAGGGCAAGGCTTGTACTTTCAGATAATGTTTCTATTTTTTAAATAATTCACATACATAACCTGAAATATAGGCAGACATCGCTGTTTCTGCACCTTTGGGTTAGAATATCTCCGAAACTAGAGCCATTGTGGAGATTTAGAGCCGATCGTCAGTCGTTCTTACAATTGTAGAACACCTTTATGGCCTCCTTGATTTCCATAGTATATTCTACCCTTTAGAAAGGCTGCAGTATTTCTAGATTTCTATTGCTCCGTGTCAGCGTCAGCCCTCTCCTAATTATATTTCTTTTTATATTGTAGGAAATTTCAGGGTGATGAAACAGATGATAAAAATCAAAAGCATGTACAATTTGATGCAAATAGATATGTATCACATAACCTCAAAACAGAGCGCCTTTCTAGAGGACAGGAAAAACTATGAAAATCAAGGAGGCCATAAAGGCGTCCTACAATAAATTGAAAGAACGACTGACGATACGGCACTTAGACTATTCTTGTTTCTGGATAATAGTGAATGCTTAGGTTTTTCTTGGACTATATGAATCTGTTTTGATTGTAGATGTGATCGTGACAGACCATTATCATCACATGGACGGAGAACAAGTATGTAAATTGTTGCAAGAGAATAGGTTGACTTTGTCTTTG